AGTGCGCTCTTGCTCTCTGTTAAAATATCGATCCGCTCATTACCTTGAGGTCTCAATTAAATGAGCCTTGCACACTGCAAGATAGCATACACTTCCGCCTGAAAGACGGAATTTTAAACTACAGTTATCCTAGCGGATAACTGTAGTTTAAAATTCTATCCGCTCGGTATATTCGAGCTTCCGTTCCATGTTCCCGTTCCATGTTTTCGAAATGACTAATGGTCTTCCACTCTTCACGGCTTATGCTTTTGGTCGTAAAGTTTGTGTTGAAGGTGAACTTCGGTGTCATGTGGTCCGTGCAAATATTCAATATGTGCTCCTCTACATGTTCCAAAATTTCTGTTCGGTCCGATCGTTTGTAGTTCGGTGAGTTTTACAATCTGAATTGGCCCATCCTGGCCTCCCCATTATCACAAAGTGTAAAAGAGGTAGATTCAGGAGTGTCTCCAATGCAGCTTTTGGGGTAGTTCTCATTGCTCCAGTCATTCCCAAATATGCAAGTCTTTGCACCTTGCCTAGTTGGTTGATAGCAGTCATCTGTTTCATCTTTGGCCACCAGACCAGAGATACGTATTTTATCAGAGCATCAGTGCTACCTCCGCGTTCCTCTTCATCCTGTCCAAGTGTTGGTTCCAGGTCTGTTTGGAATCTAGAATAACTTCCAGATATTTAACCTTGCCCGACACTTGTAGTTTTTCACCTCGAAGTTTTAGACGTCCGAAACCCTTCGTTTTAGTCCTCTGGGTGAATGCCACTATGGTCGATTTAGATGGGCTTACGTTCCTTCTTCTTTTGCCCTTCTTCTTTGGTCTATCTTGTTGAAATATTCAGGGCCTGCTGCATGCATCCCTTCACTACATTATTGTATTTACCCTGGACTAAGATGACTAAGTCGTCTGCATTGCTCAGTGCTTCATACCCATTGAGGTCCAGGAGACATATTAGCTCGTCCATTACAAGGTTCCATAACAGAGGAGATAAAACCCCCCCTGAGGACAGCCCCTTGCTACCCGTGCCACGACTGTTTCCCTCATTATGGTTGTTTATATCAATCTTCTCATAAGCATGCAGTCTATCTACCTACAGCTTGTCTTGTCGATCCCTCTCCTTCTCGTCGCCTGGATGATTGATTCTAACGACGTATTGTCAAATGCACCCTCAATGTTCAAAAAAGCAGCTAAAAGTACTTCCTTGTTTTTGTAAGTATATTTTACTTTTTCTGTTACCCGACATAGAGCCGTTTCGGTTGATATACCTTAACGGTATGCATATTGGTCTCGATGTAATGGTCTGATAGCCAGTGATACATCCCTGATATGCCTGTCAAGTAGTTTTTCTAGCGTTTTCAACGCGAATGACATGAGACTGATTGATCTCAAGGCCTTCGCCAAGTCCTGTCCGATTTTCCCAGGTTTCGGAATGAAGGTGGCCCTGATCAGTCTCCAAATTTTTGGTCTGCTGCCAACTCTAGGTCTATGGAATCTCTGATGTTAAAATCCATGCCGTCTAAACAGGTTTCCTGGTCCACCGTATAGGCTCCCCAGTTTATTTTCCGGGGATTTTGATCGAGGTCTGAATCCCTCCGATTTCAAAGTTCATGTGTCGATGATCTGAACAAATTTCCTCATCAGACACATTCCATTTCCGAACATAGTTACTTAGAAATGTTACTCCTATCGTTACGTCTATCACTTCACTACGTCTCGCATTTACGAAAGTAGGTTAATTGCCTCTGTTTGAAATGTCAAAATTATTTGCTATGATAAACTGTAGTAAGTGCTCACCTCTTTCGTTGGTATTGTTGCTTCCCCATGCTATGTGGTGTGCACAGCCAATTATGATTTCCTTCTGCTTAGCAGGTTCTAACCAACTCTTCCACTTCCCTGGTTGGTGGTGGTTCCGCACTGTTGTAAGGGACGTATGCTGATCCAATGATGATTTCCTCAGGTCCGTCCCCGCCAGCCGTCTTAAGTTTGACTGTCGTCAAACACGTCTCTGGAACACAGATTACTTAACGGCCGTGTATTCATTCCTTTACGGATAATTATGCATGTTTGGGTTACTTTCATTGTTAGATGAACAGAGGTCAGTTTCCCAGATGTGAAAACTTTTGTTCAAATAAACCAAGAGCTTGTAAGTCTTACCGTTTCCGAGATAGCAATATTGGAATCAGCTAAAAAATCGTACTGTATATTTATGAAACATTTCCAAATGTTTGTGCATACTAGATTATTGGAGAATTGCAATGGGTACCGTAATATCGAAAACAAATTTGGAATGAACCAAGTAGATGATAGTTTCAGTGTGTGGTTGAGCATCTTTATCGATGATACATTATACTGATGTATAATATACTCGTAAATTGTTAGAATTTATTGCCAGAGAATCGATAACGACCTGAAACCAGAGTTTGAGTTGATTTTCACCATCCTCTAGAAATTTAATACCTACGAGTGAAAATAGTAATCACCTAGGATTCGAATATACAGGGTGTACAACTGAAGAAGTGTAACTTGAGTCATTACTTTGATGCTTCCCCCTGTAATAAGTATTTTTGATAACGTGCAAATGTAGTTTCCAAGAGTATGTTGCTTTTGGGAAAAATGGATGTATTCGAGCGTATCAGTTCGTTTTCGATTATCACATAAAGATATTTGTAGCATACCTCAGACATTGAACTTGATATCATAAACTCCAAATTTTGACGAGTTACAAATTTAGAACCAAAAGAGTAAACATTGTAATTCAAGTGAAAAATATAATAAAAATTCATGCACCTCATAAACTCGCGGAAATGAAATTTTAAATTTCACAAGTAAATATTTTAGGAACAATTCAAAATTTGAATGAGAAACGAATGCTTGACAGAAAAATGGTGCTACTAAAAACAGAGTAAACATAATTGTTTATCTTATCGTGTAATTGTTTACGAGTTTGAAGTCATGATTGTCACAATAATTTTTTTCTCATAATCGTCCTGACTGAAATGTGTTCTGAAATAACTTTCTCACTGGAAAAAGGGTGATCCATAAATTTTGTCGAAAAGGGTCAACCACTTGGTTCTTGTCTTAATCCATAAAAGTTTTAACAATGAATACCTACTCTAAACATCCCAAGTGGCTTTTTTCTAATTATCCATGTTTTTTTCTGCAATAAACTTTATTTCCGAGAGAAAAGGCCATTTCAATGATATGCGATAAGAAAATTTAAAAATGCTACGTAAAAATCAAAATAAAAGAATTAACATAAAAACCCAAACAGATGGATATTTTGAACGACTGCTCAATAATAGAGTAATGAAAGTTTAATTTCCTTACAAATATTTATGATACAAAATAAAAATCAATATAGAAATGAAATGTTTCTAAAGTCAGTAGTTGTAGGACAAACCTACATATGTTTACCAAAAACGGAGTTTGTGCTGATATTTGCCACGGAGAGAATTCTTTACTGCTATTACCTCTTATGAATGTTGTTGTTCCACCGCGAGGTGACCATTCATACACATCAGCGGCCATGGATATCCTTCCAGATCTACTTCCACTCCACATTTTTCTATAGAGAGAGGCTAGATGGACTACATACACACTTGTGCACATTGCCAATTGCACAAATCGATTCAATGCAGAGTGCAATAGACTGTTGGTTGACACTGAAAGTTACAGCACTCCGACTTTATCCCTCCACCTGTCAACTACGAACTGCCATATGAAGTACTGTTCTCTAGTAGAGGACTGGATCCTCCGGGAGAAGAAAATATTAAAAGCAGATATTTGTTGGTTCACAGATGGATCAAAAACACCTCACGATTCTGGTGCAGGTGTTTTCAGTCGCAGAACCAGAACAGATATATCTACCTGCCTAGGAACCTATGCGTCTGCATTTCAAGCGGAAATTTACGCTATTGAATTGTGTGCAGAGAAATTGAAAGAATCCAACCACATACACAAGTCACTGAAAATATTCTCGGACAATCAAGCGGCTTTGGAAGCTCTTGGCTCATACTTAGCAACGTCTGAATTGGTAGCAAATTATCAAAAATGACTCTCCTCGATAGAAAGACTCAACAGATCTTCTCAGGCAATGAGGCTGCTGACTCCCTTGCAAAGAAGGGTGCTGCAAGCAGCTTCATCGGACCAGAACCTGTCATTGGCATCGCTTCAGGCTTTGACAAACAAACATTGAACACCTGGATGGCAAAAAGATGTATGGATTTCTGGCAGAATCTTCCAGGATTGGCTCACTCCAAGGCGTTTATTCAGCTTGATACCAAACAGTTGTTGGACTACAGTAGGGATGAACTAAGATGTCTAACAGGCCTTCTTACAGGTCATTTAAATCATCATATGCAGAGACTAGGACTGTCGGAAGGCAGTGTGTGTCGCCTCTGTTTGGAATACGATGAAACAGCAGAGTTCAGCAGAGCCATACTCTTACCATCTGACCTGAAAGACCACTCACAACCTAATCGGCTTCGTAAAGAAGCTGATTTTATTTGGTCGAGTGTGAATAGGTGTGAGCCACAATAAACCCTTGCAGGTTAGTTATACCTAACCTAACCTAACTTATTTCTTATGAATGGTGTTGTTCCACCGCGAGGTGATTGAAATTCTTTTCGGCAGATGGTGCAAGATACTTTCGTGTAGGAGCTGTATTTTTTCGTAATCCTTGCATCGTCTATCCTGGATATCATACCAATAGCATGCGTTAACTCTTTCACTACCCTCAAGGATGCAGAAGGTCCTTTTCTCCAGAGGCATAAGGTTCAAGATCGTCCACAATTGACCTTATACCTCCAAGTTTCTGGAATGCCACAAATATATTATTATAATTATTATCATTCGCGATATCAATGATTTTTCCGTAAATAGTTATTTTTGGACCAACCCTATATTGAATATATTGTAGTCGTATCGTATTCCAATAATTATTCACTTCCTGATTTTAGATAACATTCCATCACTAGATTCTTGTAAACACTTAGGTTTATTTTGTTTCAGAAACTAGGTATAAACACGAAGTACTGGTGGACAACGAACCCGTTCTCTACGAGATATTAGACACATGTCCAAAGGTATGTAGAACGCCTCTTTGGTTTTAATAAATTACACAAACACGCGTCCAATATTTATATAACTATTATCAGGTGCTACTCAGCACAAGCCAAGTAGTCTGCGTTGTGAAATAACATTATCACATCTCTGTCTCATAATAACCTCAAATATGATTTATTTTTTCCTCATTTCACAACCCTCAATCATGAATAGCTGAAAGTATACTAAGTGACGAAGAATGGTAAACCCTCATTTATATTGAAAACATGTCAATAATGTTTTGCATGTGTATTTATGTTGAGGCCAGTAAAAAGTCAGTACCTAAAATTTCAGCCGTATTGGAAGCTATTCTGACCAGTTTTTAACTGTTTTTTTTTGTGTGAGCATTTACCATTTCTCAAATTTTTATGCTTAATTTGTGCTTTAACTCTTAAAGAGTTTGCACAAGAGCCTCTTAGGATGCAGGGTTTGGGTACGCCGGTCGGTAGGGTGACAAGAAAGGAATTGAAAACACCAGTTAGCGACAATTTGTATTTCACTAGTAATGCTGGATGACAGTTATATGGCTTCGTGATTTGGAGTATCTAGAATAAAATATATATGCTTCTCAGTACGGACATTTTGTTACAATGGGTTACCTCTCACGGCCACATGGCCTAAAAACGTTATTTACTGAGCAAATAACCCTTTCAATCATAATTACATACCTAAAATAGAATATACGGGTGCAAGATCCCATGGAATGCACAGTTCTTTGAGAACCCAAAGCAATCTTCTATCAATCGATACTCTCAGATTTCCGTACCACACTCCTAGAAAAAATACGGCTTGTTTTCTTCAACACATGAAAAAACTAACCTCACAAAGAGAAGGAATATTAAACAAGTGAAACGCGCTGCGCCCTCCATTTTTATCCTGCCTACCTTTGTACTTATAAACTGATAGGAAAGGATCTTCAGCAGTACCCTACGTATCTTATTACCGTTGTGTGCGGTAGGAATTCGTTGAGAAATGGCGCGGTGACGTGAAGTCACTTTGAGTGGATCCGTTACAAGTTTGTTGTGAAGTGTTTCGTATTGTTAAAACTATGCCTGGAGTGCGAAGATTGCGTCATATTCCTCAACTTAGTAATTTTGAGAGAGTAGGAATTGTTGGCTTACGTGAAGCAGGTTTTTCAGTTAGAGAAATTTCAAGAAGAACCAATCGATCTTTGCGTACTATTGTAAGATGTTATCAGGCATGGACCCAAGAAGGCCAAGAACACAGAGCTAGGGGCACCGGTCGTTGCAGGGAAACAACAGCGCCTAAGGATCGGCAATTGAGACTTCTGGCTTCTGGATCGGTTAATTTCTACGTGGGCGATTGCGAATCAGTGGTTTGAAGAACACGTAAGGGTTGCTGGAATGCGCACTGTATATCGGCGAATAAGAAGTTTCGGGCTTTTTTCTTATTATCCCCATTAGGTGTTGCCACTGACTCTCGAGCATCGACCCAACCGATGGCACTGGTGCAGACACAAAATGAATTGGGATCAACAGTAGAACCGCGTAATCTTCAGCGATGAATCTCGCTTCTGTTTGGGTATGCAGGATGGACGAGCAAGAGTAAGAAGGCGTCGTGGTGAAAGACGAGATACCCAGTTTGATGTGGAGAGGCATGTTGACCATACTGTTGGTTTGATGGTATGGGGTGCTATTGCATATGGCAGCAAGACACTTTTAGTCTTCATTAGAGGCAACATGACAGCTCCTCGTTACATTCACGAAGTAGTGGAGCCTCATGTATTTTCATGTCTTTAGACCATCGAGAATCCCATATTTCAACAAGACAACGCTAGACCGCATGTGGCTAGAGTAACTCTAGACTTCATGGATCAGCATGACTTTGAGCGATAACCATGGCCACCCAGATCGTCCAATCTTTCACCGATCGAACATGTGTGGGATATTCTTGGTCGCAGACTGCTAAATTCACAACAGCCCTCTCAGATTTTGGCAGCACTGAGACATGACTTAGAAGTAGTGTGGAATGAGATACCCCAGCAGGATATAGACCACCTTATCAGGACAATGCCCAGATGTATCCACTAGTGTATAAGACATCGAGGATCTGCAACACACTACTAAACTTCGCTGGTTTCACGATCATTTCTCTAAAAACTTACTCGTTTGTTTGCTAATATCTGTCAAGTATGCAAGTGAAAAGTTATTAAAATATTTTCAATATAAATGGTTGTTTACCTTTCTTAGTCACTTAGTACATTATACTTTTTGTATTTTGTAATCAATGTTTGTTTATTGAAATCAGAATTGGAAAATCCTCTTTTCAAAATGATCAGGCTGAGGTAGGAATACCGTGTCAGAAAATTAAGAAGAGATGCTATGTATTTATTTGCTATGTGCAGGAAGATTATGATGACTACATTCAATATGAAATAATAATGATAATAATAATATTTTTTGTTCATCACAAACAATCACATATAATGCAATAATATTTGTTGGGTTGAACCAGACAAACACAGAAGTAAATAAATTTCACAATTCATTGATGGACAAATTTCTCGAAATATATTGCAGCAATACCATGAAAAATATCACAGAGAATCTGTATAAAAACTTATATAAGTTCTCAAGAGCTTGTCTATGAGTTACCTCCGGATGCTGTAGAATTTTTGAAATATTTTTCATTGATTGTTTTATTCTACAACTTGATGCTTTCAACAAAAATACCAGGAAAGTTAACAGGAGTGAAAGCATGATGAACATGTATGAAATATAAATAAAAAATGGCAGAATACTGAACACTAATTGAAATAACTAAAAGTGAAAGAGAAACGAATTCCAAATTTTTCAATTTAATTTCTTGTTAATGACTGAAATGAAGGAGTAACTATGAATGACTTTTCTCATGTTTCAATAATGTTATATCATGTTTCTATAATATTTGAAATGACATTTAGGAATTACGTATTCCTATTAATCTCATATCGAATAATGGATTTGACTAATGCATTTGATGTGCCAGAAGTCGATAAATTTTCCAAACTAACAAAATCTTTATATCAGAACACGTATTACACACTTTTTCGAATTGGACTTTCGTACTTGGACAAATGTTTTTCAGTTTGCCAAATGAATGCAAATCATAAAGTTTTGCAATTGATTTGACAATATGAACTTCAATACCCCAAAATTTTGATTTAGTGCTACCCTGTTCAGGAAAGTTTTTCTTCCCACTTCAAAAGGCGGAGATTGGTGAAACAGAAGAAAAGAGACAAACCCGGAAATATGGCATAGAAAATATCCATTAACGTATCTATTGAAAACATTTTTTCCACACCAGAACAAAAGTACTGTTTCTTTCGAGCGTTTCGCTAACCAAGTTAGCATCACCAGGCGATGACTAATAAAATCATTTCCAACAGCTATGTTGATGTTTTTATATGTAGCTGCTAATCGTTTTGAGGTTTACCTCAACATAGATATAATTTCACATTTTTCAATTTGAAAACTTCCGAAGGCATCTTAAAACTTGTTGTCATGTACAGGTCTCAACAATTCAAAGTTTTTTCTCATTCGTTTTGTGGCCTTTATATCAAGCATATTCAGCAACACTAGACTTGTCTGGTTCATGAAGCCAAATTTGTAAAACATGTTCTTTAAAGCGATCTATCATAACCGGCTCAGTTTGAACAACATACTCTTTATCGCAATCCTCTCAACTTGTTTCGTAAATCCCGGATCTTCTATATCGTCTCGTATTTCGGGTTAGTTTGGGTTGGGTCAAAAGTAAGTGGGCCTATTCAACCCTTCACCGCAACCCGCAAGGGTTTATTGTGGTTCACACCTATTCACACTCGACCAAATAAATTCAACTTCTTAACGAAGCCGATTAGTTTGTATGGTGAGTGGTCTTTCAGGTCAGGTGGTAAGAGAACGGCTCTGGCGAACTCCAATAACCTTATTCGGGCCCCAGCGGGGCAGGCACAAAGTATGTGCTCTGCTGTTTCATCACGTTTCAAACACACTGTCTTTCGACAGTCCGAGTCTCTGCATATGATGATTCAAATGACAGTTACCTGTAAGAAGGCCTGTTAGACATCGTAGTTCATCCCAACTATAGTTCAACAACTGTTTGGTATCAAGTTTCGGAGGGTGAATAAACGTCTTGGTGTCAGCCAATCCTGGATGATGATGCCATAAATCTTCTTGCCATCCAAGTGTTCAATCTTTTTTTGGCAAAGCCTAAAGCGATACCACTGACAGGTTCTGGTTCGATGAAGCTGCTTGCTTCAGGTTGTCCAATACTTGTTAAAAAGTGCATAGTTTTGGAATCTAATCATTCAATTTTTCAAAAATATCAATTAATATGATCATCTCTTTCGGTTTGAATGAAAGAGCTGTGCATTTTTATCCATCGTCTCTATGAAATGTCGAGAATTTATGAAGACAATCTTCAATTATTTTTTCCTTATTGAAAAATCCACTATACTGAAGGAAAAACATTTCTTTCAACCATCTCCTTCATAACTGTTTCCTTGTTATAATATATTTCTTTGCTCAAGGGGACAATCTATGGACAAGAAAATGTAATTCCGCCATATTCAGTTATTGACAATGATGAAACCTGTCAGGAATATATCTGAAAGTGCTAGTATTCATCCTACATACAAGTATTTATATCAAATTTCAAACCTTCACCGGCATTTCCCATAACTGGAACATTCAGTTTTTGAAACTATTCATTATTTTCAAATTCATGAGTCAGATTTATATTTGGGATAATGGATAACTTAAGTAGGGAAAACATTTTGAGAGTATCTTAGTACTACTCCAGTCTTTCAGAAAAACGAAGACCCATAATTCATAGTCCTTCTATAGTAACCAGAATACACTGACGGATTGGTTAACATGTTTGTGAAAAATGTTATATGGAAGTGAATTTCAAATCTGGAAAAACAACAAGTGTCATGCAACCCAGAAGAAAAACGACATGAAGATTTACGAAGTGAACTGTG